TTGATTTTTCTGTCGAAATTTGTCGGGGCAAATGTTCCCTGGCTTGTTATTATATAAATTATAAGACTCCTTTTAAATCTAACCATGTTTTCAGTCCAGGTACAGTGGTGGCATTAGTAGTATTAGTAGTAGTCGCTGTTGTTGTTGTTGTTGGCGTATCCTATCATTGAAGCCCTCTTCCAACATGAAGACAAATATATTTTTATATGCGTTTTTACCGATTCCTTTGCAGTCGGCGAAAGTGAAGATTCAAAATCAAGACGTTTCGGAGCCCCGACCAACACTCAACGCAGTTTGCAATTACGCTGGCTAGAAGCAGGTTCATTCTCGTTCGGCCCGGTTCATATCACCGTATCTCGTTCTCCCGAACAACCGGAATTACCGTTTTGGCAGTTGGCTTTTCTACGGCGTCACGATGCACGTACTAAACGTTTGTGGTTTCTCTGGTCCGAGTCCTCCGCCCGAAACTCCTTCCCAGCAACCAAGACACTGCATCCCGGGGCAAGTGAGAACACGATTCCCGCTGTTCTGCCGAATTGCGGTTGTTATGGCCAGTGCTCATTTTTCGGCCCGAACGAGAGTGGTCGTGAACTATACCAGGAACTAACTGCGGGCGTGTTTAAACTGCGTGCTGTTTTCCCGCCTCGTTCGCTTTATCGACCGGACTTGGTGTCTGCGTATGGCACAACGTCCGAAACGGCTCCGGGAGCATCGGTTTTTGAACAGTATGTTCATTTCACTCCATTCTGCTTACTACTTCCCGTGTCATTTATGCTTAATTTCATTTCCATAAGTTACTTATTCCGTGGCACTGTAAACTTTGTTGATTTTCAAATGAAGCCATGTTAAGGGGAGGGGCTGTTTAATCAATTCCATGAGTTCTATCAAGCACAGAGAGAGTACAATCATAACGTTTCACTCTATACTAGTCGGCAGACTGTCATAATGCCTCTCTATGTCTTGTTTCGAGCACGATACTCATTGATGAATTCTAACTATGATCTCCCCCCTCTCTTCCCCATTGGAACGAACATAGTTGGGACTGATCAGATTTGCTCCCTCAGGGTTCCGTGGGGTATTTTCTCTTCGGAGGGATGTTCAAAAAGTAGCAGCAGGCCGCTGTGTTGTCCCGGTTTAATACCACGCCTAACGTAGTCGGACATTATGTGGCTCGCCCCTCTATGGCCCCGGGGCTTAGGTTGCTGGTTCCCATCACCGGATAGCAGGTCTACGTGCCTGAGGTTCACTCTGTCTACTGTTCATTACACAAAGATTATTACTGAGACTGCTTTTGCCTATCACGTTCGAAATAGTACTTCTTTTTTCGCGAACAAGCTCGGTTTCACTGATTCGTAACCATGCCAAATACATCACAATAAATATTACACTGTTTTTATAAAAATCAGAATTCAACCGTAAAAACGCAAACAAATGTTTCCGGAAAGGGGAAATAACCTCACGGGTTATCCGGGGCTAAGTTCATCTTCGGACTGGATATGGAATTCTCAACGATCACGTAATTGTTAGGTCATTCGATGGTTGGGACCACTCGGAATATGGGGTGTGTAGTGAGTGGACCAGGGAGCTTAAGCGCCTGCACAAATTGTTTTTGGGCACACAGAGGGGGATGGTGCAGCCGAATTCTTACCGCTTCCGCTGTGGCTAGCATACGGCAGCGAACCTGCCTTGATAATCGACCACTGGTCTGTTGCTATTTGTTTCTCGCGATATTCATTTTCTTTCTTTTGCCTATTTCTGACATCATGCACGATACTCATGCTGCTTTTCGCAGCATTTATCTGCTTGAAATTATACTTTTCACCGGAAGTTTTTCTCACTGAGTTTCCAATTCGCGGGTCCAAAAATCAGTGCATCTTCCATACACCAATTGTTTTGACCTATTCGATGAGCAACAGGTGACTGGGAAATAGCATACCGCTCTCATCAGATGTCAGGTTTGCTCCTCAAAGTTACTGCATATTTGATGACATTCTAATATGCGAATTCTTCCCGGACTGTTTTGTTATACATTTACCGCAAAGATTGTTATTTGGAATATGTTGCATTCAGTTTGACAAATTTAATCACTGTTCAATCAGATTGCTCCGCATTTTTCACCTCGTTGAAAGTTCTTCAATCAAATGCTCCTCTCAATCCGTGGTTAGGAAGCCGTTTCTGATATACGAAAAGGTACTGTTCGTGCACAACATTGTTGCGATCATTCAGGCAACTGAGACGTGAACGAAAGAGTTTCTCACAGACTCTGTGGCCACCATTTTTGTTTCGGCGCTGTTTTATGTTTCTCCTTTTTCCCGAATAGGGCTGCAATAGTGTCCACGGTAGTTTCCGCCTTCTGCAAAGCAGCCCTCAGTTTTTCACCACTGTTCGGGACCATCCTTCTACGTGACTGTCCCGTATAGATTGATTTGCGTGGGTGAATTTGATTACCGAGCAATCAAAATTGCAGTGGACCTAACATTCTTGTCGCCTAAGAAATTAAACACTAAATATGAGTTTCCTGTTGGCACCACTCCAGATTCCAATATTTGATTAGGCACAGCAACTCGCATCATACGCGGAATTCCTCAATGTCCACTGACACAGTATGCAAGCGAATTCCAATGATTTACCGTGGAAAATCTTTATGGTCTGTAAACTATTCACATACACTTTCCCAAGTCCGATGTTTGATACGTGGCACAAAATAAAGCCTACGAGCTGTTCTTATCGTGGAACCACGTGACGTATTCCATTGGTGTGTGTTTAGCTATTTTACCGGATGACCA